CGCCAGCTGTTGAACTGGATGCGTGCAAACACGATGTGCTTCATTCTTTTTTGTCTAACGAATGATTTTCTACTCTAATTCTTCTGTCAAAAAAACAGTACTTCTAATTCTTAGCGTATTACAAATGCGGGCATCCAGTGTCACTTTTTTTCCAAAGAACTTGCTGATCTGCTCATTAGTCAGGTTGACTCTACCACCCAAATGCTTTACATTTTTTTTAGAATTTCAATAACTTCTGAAACAAAAGGTAACGTTGTAACTGACCTTCTCATTTTTTGCTGTTTCTGTTTCTAGACTTTGTATTAGAAAACAATTGCCCTTCCGCTGACGGCCCTCGTTAGCAAGCTAACTTGTCTTGTCAGCTAGCAGGGAAACTGTTGGACGGAGCAGAACGATACTTGATTCAGCCTTTTCACACGTAGACTTCGTCGTCGTCTCACAAAATGAACAGTCCTTGGGAGGTGGACGTTTCCCGCCAACTATCGAGGCCGCCTTAGCATGGTCGTCGAATGACGCCAGCCTGCGCAGCTTCTGTCCTAGCAATAAAAGCTTAACTCTAGTGATTATACGTTGATTGGACAATGAATCGCTCCTTGAACCGTCTCGTCTTTTTTTTGTGCCTAATACGCTATCCTTTGAGAACGTCTCTTTTCCGGATCTCGCTCGCGTTCAACCGTGTGAGAGCCCTTGCACACGTCAGTTTATAGAAAAAAAAAAAGAAAGAGCAGGAATAGTGGGCCGGAATTTGAGCATGCCAAATTGTTATGAAGGAATAAGGAGGGGAAAGGCTGTCGAAAATTATATTGAATACCCTTCGATATTTCATAGAAACTATTGTTCATGGGAGTTGACGATATGTTTTCCAGATTCAAATGGGCAGCCCGTCCTTCGACAAGCCTTTGTGCGGTGAGAACTAGATTTATCGTTGAAAGTCGTTGATTTGGGCTGTCCGAACATATCTGAAAGGATGCGCGTGTTTGCACTACTGAAAGTATCGGAAAAAAGAAGAAAATATTAAAATAGATTTCTACTGAGCGGATAATTGTGCTGCATTAATATAGTAGAAATAAACAACCTGTTTCGTTGATGATCTCAGTCGCTATGCTGAACAACTAATTGCCAAAGACCATGACGACAGGAACTAGTTTACATGATCGGTATTAAGGTTCTGCCAGAGCATCTTCTAATTCATTGCACAGATGTGTTTCTTTGTTACACCAAGCAACCGTTTTCAACAGCGACCCCTGTTGTCGGATCATCATCATCATCGTCCGCTCAATTGAGCTGCTATATAATACCTATTTATTGAGATGTACACGACTATTTGGTCATTATTACACAATTGAGGGAACAACATACGCGTGCCTAGGGAAGCAGCTATACGATAATAGCTTAGAAGTTTTATCTCGCTGCTAACTACGATTCGTGAGGTATCGAGTATTACTATCCACAAGTCTTTATCGCATCGAGCTGAATACAGGTATTCGTCATATAAATTGTGGCAATAGTAACGATATTATTAATCTGAGACCTGTAACGTGCAGTCGTTCATGATGACGATAACAGTAACTCGCTATTAAGATCATTCAAGTCGGAGAGCGCGCTGGCCCCGCCCGAGGCGTGGGCATTCGAACATGAAAAGCACTAAGATTTCGAAATAATCGTGTTCATTATTATTGTTACATCAGCGTTATTACTAGCGGTAGGTGTGCGAACGGTATGACTCTCTCTCTCTCTCTCTCTCTCTCTCTCTCTCTCTCTATATATATATATATATATATATATCGTACAACAGCGGTAAGCAATTCTTGCGATTTTCTATATTTGCATACAGTTAATCAATGTCTCTTTGTCTCTACGCGCTATTACCTCGTAACATGCGAATTCTGTCGCTGTTAGCTTTCTATGAACCGTCATGAAAATACTAATAAGGATAAACCCCTCATTCGCCGCCATATGTACGCTCGCCTATGTACGGAATAGTATTTAGTAAATAGCGCGTTCGCAAGCGTTCTGTCCTACGCGCTGCACCGTCAAATGACAACAACATCGCTAGTATTAGTCATCGCGGTAAAACAATAGTCGATAGCTATAAACCTTACTATTACAGAGAAACATATGTAAGCATGTGTAGATTCAATAACTTCGGCCAACAGGAAATGTCAAATCTCCACTAGCGTCATACGCATATTATATAACTCTTATTATGAAATGTTTATACACAATAGCCGAAAAAAGCATATATATGTATGTATGTATGTATGTTATGTAAGCTTTGTTAGAGGCACTATTCGGAAAAGCTTGATTCGAAATAGCTGGCAAATGCCGTCGCCCTAAGGCCCTATTCGTTGCTCTCTATGCTTGATTCGCCCAAAATGTAATAACGTCAATTTGTCTCGTTAAGCAAGACGCATCGAGCCACGAATCCGGTTAGACAAGCACACGTTCTCGTACATACGTCCGCATAATGTGAGCCTCCATATTTATACTAGAATGAAATGCGAGTAGGCAAATTCTGCCGGTTATTGCCATTTAGGTACACAAGCACAAGTGGGCCTGAATCATGTCACACTGTAAATTGCTACCAACTGAATATCAATGGTAGTGCTGAGTTTAGATAACAATGATAATAGTTATCATCAAAAGGGGCGCGATGGTATAATTAATCGGAGAAGTACTGTTTACTTGCTAGGGATAGAATCATCGAAATTCTTCATACGAAGGTCTATTTTCATCGCACGGCCGGCGACATACTGAAATAATTCGTTTCTAACTAACTAGCAAATGATCCATAGGCGAGGCCTTACTGCTACGGCGCTTTCGCTGTCCCCTTGCGACAACGTTTGATAGCCACCGATTTTCAATTGTGCTTTTTGAACACTGCATACGCCGTACAAAAATTCAGTGAGTATTTTTAAAGTCTCGCAGCTAGAGAGGGTGTGCAAGGCTTTCTAATAACATTGGTGCCCGGAAATGGATAGATCAAGTCGTTTATCAAGGCTCAATGATATTTCGATACGTTTAACAATTGACTAGTAAAAGAATACACAAGCGACGACCTACTTGAATTTAACATAGGAACAAATCCAATAGTCAGATCTGTAAGAAGCGTATTATTGGCTATAGTAAATGTTGCAACATGAACATGCGAGATGGAGTAAAATTATCCTCCCACACATATTGAATCAGTAAGACCGAAATCGCTCGTCACGTAAATCGGATCGCATTATCTCAATTTACCACTGTCCACCGCCCTCCTTAGACGGTCCTATAGTCTCTATATTAGGTACACTCATAAATACATTTCCAGTTAAGGATGTGATGTCCTCATTGGTTAAACGCGAGTCTGGACATGCGAAAGGGGTTCCTTCGTGGCCTACTTATGTTGTGCTATAACTGTTTCCATTTGTAGGGGTTTAAAATCGTAGTTCTTCGCTCGTATGACAGTTGCATCTCGTTTGTTTTACGTTTGAGTAGCAGTTTCATTATTCCGGGATACGTGTGTAGCAATTCCAGAATAGAGGAACAAACAGGCCGACATTGATCTCCGCACATACGCGATCGCCGTCAAATTGTCATCGAAAATTAATGATTTCACATCCCCTCGTTTTGTGCTATCATTTTTATTGAAGCTTCGCTAACCGCAATTATTAGGATCGTCCGAAGAAGATGAAGAGCTGCAGATATTTATTCTCTTTCACGATTTCAAAATAGACTTAAATAAATAGCATATATTCCCGTTTCCTACAAGTTGACAATTTACGCCTTGCTGGTAACAGCTTAACCATCCAGTATGCGTGAGATCGATTTACTCGGACATTGTGTCACAGCGTATTAGCAGACGACCCGTGGGGCTTCCTTGCGGGCGCTTTTCTTCATTTACCCTTAATAACCATCTACACGGTACTTTTATACACTATCGTACGTTGCTTCATCATCACGTCCCGTTAATTCCCCCGCTCCCCCAAAAACATTAAGCGGCAAGAAGATTTTAACTAGTAATGTTTCGCCGTCATCAGTCTAACCATCGTCGCGGTCTTATCCGGACTATTCATTCTGGGGCCATCTATGTTAATCTGCTTTCATCATGCATCGACATCGGGAGCGAGTTATGATTCGCTCGAGCGCTGTTATTAATTGTTTATTTCACCATTTTTTTTATTTGTCCGTGCTAGTCTACGATAGTCCTTGGCTCCTCGTCGTGTCGACGACTTCATTCGTCAAAGGGGAAGCTTCAGACGCAGACTTTGTATTTGTGAACTCTTTTGTTAATTTTTAATACGGGTCACCGCTATCACCGCACCGCTTCTGGCTATTCTCTCTCTCTCTCTCTCTCTCTCTGTCGAATATATGGAATTAATTTTTGGTGCTAAATGGCTACCACTCTGTATTTACTGCTTGCTTTTAGTTTTTCGTAAGAGGTGGGCGAATTCTCTAGGGCGACACTGCGGCTGGATTTGCAACTATTTGACTATCGCGAACAGATAATTTTCTATTAGTAACTACATTTTTATTGGTTATTGATTGATATAGAAGTTAATTATGAGTGTAATAAGTAGGTTTATTAGCTAATGGCTAGACCCATTAGCGATCGTGCGAATATGCATTTCTAAACGAAGACGTCCTGCTCGCATTTTGCTGATGTTATCTGCTATAAGTCTTGAGGGACTTTTGTGTTTTCTGCGACGAATTGTTTGTTTTGGTTGCAACCATCGCGTCATTGTTTGTTATGTCGCCAATGTATCCTGTCACAAAGAAGCATAGTTTCGCAGGTCATGTCACATCTCTGAAGGCTTTCAATTCGATTTCACGTTTTTATTCTGGTACTGGGAGCCAAAAGCGATTGTTATGTGTATATCTATTACGTTGTTTTGTGCCCATGCTTTCCCACAGAAGCCCCGAAAATGGAAACAATATATATATATATATATATATATATATATATATATATATATATATATATATATACATAGATATTGTTTCCGTTCTCGATCCTCTGTGTTGATGTTCTTAACCTCTAATCTTATTGTCATAATGTTGCTTGTTGTGTGAATATCTTCACTTCATCCTTGATATATATATATATATATATATCCTTCATTTGCCGTCTGGAGTTCAATAGTTTTACAATATCTCTAGATGGGTTTGCTGTGCGTACAGGCTCGTCCAGCTGGACCAGTTTGGACGTGATCGGTTCAATCGGCCTTTTCGTTCTTATCGATGTTGATAGCAACATGTTATTTTACTAGTTCGTTATTTACGCATGTATCTTCTAATTTTCGATAGTTTTATAGGTATCCGTATGTTTAATTGCATGCAGAGTGAAGAAAATTACCACTAAATAGATCATTCCAGTAATCTTTGAGTAACCACGAACGCAGAATATCTTGTAGCTATGTTTTTGTTTTATAGTGTTTCCACCTTGCTATAGTATGTGATTTCGTTTTATTTTCTGGTATATTGTCACTAATTGATTAGTAAACGTGATACATTGTTTACTGGCAACTTCGATTTTACTTACGCGCAACTTTTTTCTTTTTCCTCCTAGACATCTTACCCCTTGTTTGTAAATTTATGAATTGCGACTTGTCTTAGTGTAATGCAATAATAACAGTTATAACTATCAATAAAAACAATGGAAATAATGAGAATTAGAGGAGTAGATGTTCCTGTTCGCTGCATATTTAACAAATCATTATATAATCCTCGTTGCATAGTCTCCCATCGGTTTTTTGGTTTTGTTGTCCGCCTATTTTTCATCTGTGTTGTACTGTGCCGTTCTCGATCACTTAGAATATAGCGATATTTGTGAAGTCATGGCGTTTACTCAGCGTTGGCTTTCCTAATGGGTTTACCTGTATTTTCGTTTGTATGATCATTACAATTTCTACGAAGACCATTGGCCTCTTCTATTGTTATTATTGTTTTTACTGCTGCTGTTGTCGTGATTGATATCGACGCTGGCCTCGTCCTCCACAACACCTTGCGTCATCGCACCAACTAAAACGTTACGTATACAGACAGAGTTGTTGGATTGCTTAGCCATGTAAGCGGTTGTTGTTGTTGTTGTTGTTGGCGGCAGGATGTCGATATACAGAATCCCAAAGCTGGGTTCCAGCGCACTTGTTGCATGTAACCAACAATAGCTAAGTAGCATTGACTGTGAAGCTTTATGGACAGCTGCAGTAGTTCTCTACTAGTTCAATCACGGGAACTTTACGAGCGGTTCATGGGGAAAGCTAGTAACTTGACAGATCTAACGAGACGAAAGTAGAATTTCCTCTATAGAAATACTCAACCTTAGTACTTTGGTTTTCTTTTTGATAAGTTCCTCGTTTATTTCGACAATTTTTCAGTTATCTTCAGTGGTAACTTCTCACTAAAATTGTAGTACTTATATGCCTTGTAGTTGGTGGTCGGTAACTAGACGTACAGCGGCTTGCGATGGAGTATCTGTGACAGCTATAGTTCGTATTTGGTCATTGTCGGCCCAACGAATCTGGGAGAAGACGCAGATTGGCATTGGTTGCTTCAGTAGCAATAGGAAAACATGTGATAACCGCCATGTATAAAATCGTTGTTATTATTATTTTCATGTTCAATGTTCATCAACTAATTGTTCTGCTTGCAAAAGAATTACTATTAACATTATCTTATCTTGTCCACTTTTCTTATCAGCGTGAACCCAATTTCTCCATAGTTTTTTTTCTTGTCATTTCGCTTCTGTTGTTCTTTGTTGCTTTGACTTTTATTTTCGCTATCTCTACTTCGTTTGTCCGCGTCTTCTTTATTTAGTTTGTGGCCTATTCGTATCATATTTCTATGCATTGTATTGAAGCGCCGCTATAGGAAATCTTCTTCATATCGCATCCTGTTGACTTCTGATCCACCGGCAAAGCTTAGCAGTCCCATCGTGGACATTTTGGTGCCCCTGGGCGGTGTCCGCCTTGTCTCTACCATTCGCATGCCCACCCGGACGGCGCCGGCGCGTTGACGATCATCGGGCGCCACCGGTGGCTTCGGTATCTCCGGATGGGATTTACAACAGAAATAGTGAATGAGGTACACGAATCCCTGCCGGAAAGCGTCGTGGGTCGCGCCGTAGACAAGCGGGCACACGCAAGAGTAGCTCTGGGCAACGAAGAACAAATTGTCGCGGATGGATGACTTCAGGCTCGGCTTGAGGATGACGCACATGAGAAAAGGCAACCAGCATAGAATGAATAGCAGAAAGGCAGTGAAGTTGGTGCGCAACAGGCGCCGCTGAAGGATCTGCTCGCGTGTAGCTGAGCAGTTCCGGAGCTCGAGGTGTATCGTGAAATCGCGGTGCTCATTCACGGCCTTGGCGAATACGAAAACGCTGAAGGCGATCGGCGCCGCCAGCGTGAGCAGCATCCGGCTCTGGCGCATGTCGTTGTTGCAAATGTCGAGGCCCTGCGTAACGAAGAAGCTGACGGCGCACGCGGCAGCCGCTAGGGCCCACCCGAGAAAGACAAGTATGACGACGACCGGCGCGGCACAAAGCGTGCGATACACGCCACGGAATTCACCCGGCCTCGTCGCCACGATGGGTAAAACTCGACGGTCGCCCAGCTCGGCACCGTCTTCCACCATTTCCTCAGGTCGACAGGATCGAACATAGTTCTCCAACGCGATACAGAGAAAGTTGAAGATATTAATGAAGAACGACATGAGTGCGCAGAACCACTGGGCGTGACAGACGGGCTTTTCATCCTGCATAACCGCAAGGATCGCCACGCACATTACTGGAAACGACCCGGCCGTGATGATCAGATTGGCTAAGGCCTGATTGGCCAGCAGTAGGTTGCCTCGTCGTCGAAGGCATTCTTGCACGATGAGCGTCGATATCTCAAAGACGTTGAACGTCGTCCCGAGCACGGATAGGATGCCATAGAGGACGAGGTTGGAGAGCGCATTCTGCGGGTACGGACTCTGGTACGGCACATTAAACGTCGAGGTGGTCCGGGAGTGGATCGCGCCGTAGACATTGCTGAACGAGCTGCTCGGAGGTGGTATGGTGTTATGTCTTTGGGACACTGAGGTATTCGCTGAAATGAAGTGGAGTGCCACCGAAACGAACGAAAAACAGGGAAATCGAGGAAAATCACATTGATCGAACGAAATATTGTCTCGTACCGGAACACACGGAAGTACAAAAGATGAAAAAGCGTTGGACAGAGTATTGCAATGGAAGGAATGACGGTTGTGAAGGTCAGCGGCAGGGTGGAAGGAAATAAGGATTGTGAGGGTAAGAAGATAACAAAAACAATAACAACAAAAATACAAACAGGGTCATCTGCATTAGTGATTTTAATCAAATAGCATCTAGTTTTGATAAACGTACTAGTAATATAAAATAGCTAGCAGGAGATTAAATCGAAGTCAACACTATAAAAAAATGTTTTCTCAATGCATTGATCCTTAATTGGTCACGAAAAATGCGTATGTACTCTTCAATTCTCTATCAGTCTCTTTTTTTTTTTTGTTAAATAAATGAGTTTGACGTTCCGTGTGGCATCGTTTCAACTGACCTATGTAGTTGTTGTACGTCGCGGAGGCAGCTGTGGCTGCTACGTGGCGATCTAGTATAAGTAGATGGAACGAGTCCGTTATAGGCGTGGGAAGCAAGGCTCCATCGCCTGACATCTATAGCTGAGGCCGTGCGAGCCACCCTGCGCACGCCAAACGTCCACGACGAGAAAGATCCAATTTGAGAAGAGACCGATTGCCGGATGGAAAGTCTTGTGCTTGAAGGCGATCACACGTCGGCAGAAGGGATCGAACGGTTGACCAAGCGGGACACCAAAGGAGAACTCAAAGATATGTTACTAACGGTAAAATCCTCACCTGAAATGAAAGAGACCAAAAACATTAGCGTTGATATATTTATAGATAAAGCAAAAGATTCTCCTATTATGACTATTACTTCACAGTTGAGATACGAGTTCGGAACAAGATTTAGAAGAAGCCCAAAGTTTGATAGCTATTTCAGTAACCTAGGCTGAGCAAGCGCATTGTCCATATTGTCGAAGCTGCAAAATGGAAAAACAACAGGTACACACTACCCCGATACTAAACTCTAAATATCTTAGTACTGAAGACAGCTACGCAATTTAATTGAGTTCGAATATTTCAGTAGAGTAGTTTGTGTACAGAAATAGTACACATTATTAGAAGTAATCTAACTCTATTGATATGATGAAAGAAAGACCCCACACGTCTTCGCTAAATAGAAAATTATTATGTACCCCCGTTATTGGTAGCGAATTTGTTCCATCTTTCTAGTTAATATTGTGCGGTGTTTCGCCAAAAGATATCCGGTTTGGTCTCGAACGTATTTTGTAACCATGTTTCGATATGTCGATCCGTGTCGACGTTAAAGGCTACGAGTGATTGCCCAGCGAACGAAAAAGCTGAAAATATGTCGATGCCATATATACAGAAAATATGAAGGATGCAAAAACAGTTGCCATTCGAAGTCCAGGAGGGCAGATTTGACTATGTTTTTCTTGTACAGCCTTCCGTTGTTATGGAACTGGGTGGCCTGAGCTCGCATGTCGGGCCTTTTCTCCTAAACAGTTTGGTTAACTCGATGCAACTGGGCCAAATATAAATGGTGATCAATTGTTTGGTTCATACAAACTGTTTTTGACTAAATAAAGTACCAAACGTGAAGCACAGCTTTTTTTTTGTAAAAATCTGATTCAGCCTTAAATTTTGACTTTTTTTCCTCTGATTCCAAGCTCTGGTTCATATTGACATAGAGAGACCACATCTAGTCGCCGATAGCAATTCTGTGCAAACATCCATAATTGTCACTACATAACACTCGATACCATGCGAGACGTTGACACCGTTGAGCCAAAATTCTTTGTCGAATTCATAGACTTCGTGAGGTACCCAAGCTGTAAGTTTCTGTGAAAATCCAAAACACATGAGGCAGCAGACGGTTTTGTGGCTGCAGTTCATCTTTTTGGTTAATTTTCGAGCTGTTTATGGTTACATAGTTTCAGATGGTCGTCACCAAACGCATATGATTGACTAACGCATCTGGAAAGCAAAGGGGGCATTCTTTAGGTCCCAAGTACCGTTTTCAAGCTTGGCAAACCTTCCTAGAAAAGTTATTTTAGCATTGGGGTCGTTGCCGAAGAAGGCAAGCGTTTTGACTTCGACGAAGTGCACGACTTGTAATCTTCATCTGGAACATCAATCTTTAAAGAGCATCATTACAGCACGCTCATGTATCAAGAAAAGCGCTTTAAAATAGTTTATCAGACGTAAACAATAAATTAGGGAAAGTGATATAAAGAAGTTCTTAAGTGTGGCATTTTCCTTTGTTTACAAATGTTCTACAATCACAAAAATAATCTTGCCTTGTTTGCCGGTTTCGGTGCTGCCGAATAAAAAAAAGTGGATAAGATAATGTATACCGTACAATTACCATTTAAATTCCACAAAAGAGGCCGGTTATTTTATAAAGGTAGTTTTGTTCATTAAGACAGGGAACAGACTAGTTTCTTATGAGCTTATATTTCAACCTCGTTTAACTGGGAAGATTTGATCCTTGTCAATTTAGCATGTGCTCAACAATGCATCTTTTTCTATGTACCTTTAGATAGTACATTCTACTAAAGCCAGAAATGGGCAGCCATCCTTTATGAAGTGTCCATCGCATTTTACGCCCGATACGCAAGTCATAAGGCATAACTTCAGACAACTGACTTCTGCCACCACGGAAGAAATGTGTCTACGCCCGAAGTCGAACCTAAGCTACCCTGTGCCCACAAGTTTAGCGGGCAACACGTTACCCACTGCGCTCTCATGGGAAGCCTTATAACGTTTTTATCGTTCTGCGTGTAGTTTATATATTCTTTCTATAAAATATTCCTTCTATTATCAAATTCAATACGGTTTTTGCGTAATTTGTTAAATATTTTACTCTTAACGTGCAATTGCAACTTTTCCCCGAGCAAACAAAGATAAATGATATTTAATGCAGAATAAATCCAACGGAATAGACCTAGCATGAGACAGTTTTGTCTCTCAATTTGAAAAAAAAACCATAGACGCTTAGTGGCAAAGAAGTAAATCTGCTTCTTCTAGACTGCACTAGACTATATATTTTAAATTTATTCGTACGAAAAATCACAAGATACAGAATCGTGTGTACATCGTTCGTTATAAAAACAACACGTGATTATTTACATTTTAGATATCATCGCCTAACGACAACCGACCAATCCTGCTATAGTTGAACTCTGCTTTGGATTTTAGCTGAATTCTTAGTAGAAAAATACAGCTGATTATAAAATCACTAGCAACTAAACTTAAAAAAATTGAACAAGTTTTTTTTTGTAATAATATGTACAAAGGAGTATGTTCAACGTGTAGCTAATATTTTTCCTCCGAATGTCACTATATTTAATGAGAGGATTATCTTAGCCGGCTTGACGAAACCGGTTTCAGTTCTGCTCGATGGAAGAGGCTCGATGTCCTACTAAGACGCTATTTTCGAGCCATTTGTTGTCGAGTAGCACTAGTAGAAACATCGTGCCTTTCCGCTAAGGCAACAATCAGATGTGTCTATAGTCTATAGAGGACTCATACATAACATACCGTTGGAGTTGTCGTCTGCAATCAGTTTTCATCACAAAAGTCCCTGTGATGGCACCATCCCTATGGTACCACGTTATCCCACTAAACTTGGGCACATCTAATAATACAGGTTCAAAGTCGGGTGTAGACACACTTCGTGAGCCAGCCGTCTAAAGTAACGTTTAATGACATTATCAGACGTAAAACTCAAAACATTGGTTTTTGTATCAAATGCCCAAGGAATCTACAGGGCCGATATCCCAGCGGATTCGATCTCGCCGTGAAAGAGCAATATTGACAAAAAACGCGAGGTAAAAAGGCAGTAAAGCCGCTGTAAGTGCAGGGACAATCAGTTCAAAAAGAGTCCCTCTCGTCGAGGTTCCGGTAAAATTTAACTGCTAATACAAGTAAGTTGCTACGCGCTACAAATATAGGCGCAGACCCCTCTCCGCTCATATGGCCTTGGATTGCTAACCGGTGGCAACCGATGATCAATTCTGTCGTATTGTGTCGCCAGATAAAAGGTACACAACACGAGGTTGATTGTACCAAAAAGAGGAACCCTGACAACAGTACGTTTAGCAGTTGATTGCATCGGTGAGTGAGGGAGCCTGCAGGCGTTACGTCTTCAGGCACGCTCAGCTTAGGTTCTTCATATTGATTCCGCCAGCTGGCCATCTTCCGTTAATGCTGTAACCGGCGTTTCGCTTACGATCGAAGGCGATTCGATCCGCCATTGAACCTTTGGTGGGTAGCCTTCCTAAAAATCCCCTTAAAACTTCCCCATCTACGGTGTCGTCCATTCACTTGTGTGTCTACTGGCACTGCTTGAACCTTGCACTGGTTCTGCCAGCATAAACTCACCGACAAAAACTCCCATAGAAGCCTACGGAAATCATTGTATCCATACTCGCACAAGCACACACACACATGTACGCAAACTACAATGCTTTTCGCAAAAGGTTCCAAAAGCGCCCAAAGCCTCTCGCCTCAAACATAACTTCGTGAATTTGCCAGGTGGGTCAACCAATGGAACCGAGCTTTATCCGAACGGTGTTACAATAGTAAGGTTCGCTTTGTCCTGTTGCTGCCTCCATCGTCGTTTGTGTCTTATAGTATAGTCCTAATCGGCCTGCGAAGCTTGTCGAGGTTAATGCTCTGCCGGTACAGCAATAATAGGCTGAAGTGGAAAAACCTCATGCTTCGCGCTCGCGGCAGTTGTAACCTCGATGTATTCGAGAGGGAATGATGCCAGATTAATTAACTACGGCTGAGCCCGGGCCACCAAACATATAGGTACACATAGAAGATGGGGACAATAATACGTTTCACATCTTGATTGATTGGCACTTGCCGATAACCAGGATAGGGCAAGAAAGAAAGGTGAGATGAACGAAGACTTGCAAAAGAACGGAAAGCTCATGTTTGGTAAATGCTTATAAAAACCGGAAAAGTAAAAAGATTACACTACTTTTCAGATACTGGCCTGTGTATATCTGACATATAGAATGAGTAGCAGATAGTTTAAAGATCAATTTTCTGCACTGCGCCAGTTGCATAAAAACTGTGCTATTTTGATATTCGTTTATCAGTAGGAATGCTAGCAGGGCACCAGTGCTATGGAAACTACCCCACAGCTTCAACAAGTACTATATCAACATGACTTTGCCCAATAACTCTTGCTAGATTATGATGTTTTAAGGTTTGCATGGCAAGTAGCGAGTCAAGTAAATCTCCTTAAAGAACGTAGATTTCTATCTGTATTAGCAAGCAGTATATCAATGTACATGCAGAGGACAATGTTGAGAGACATTATGGCATTCGCGTTTAGGCTTCCCTAATAGAAAGCGTGAATTTCGTTAAGGATTTGCGAACATGTCAAGATCGGCGAGTGTCTCTAGGTTCACGTCGAATGGTGTGTAGTACCGTGAAGAGGAATGATACCACGGAAACGTGCTGTGTTCCATACGCATAGGTTTTAACAGTTGCCAACCTTTCCTTCCGAGTATGTTGGACACCCACTTTCTGAACGTCTTCGCGTTTGATCAATACCTTTGAGTAGATCTTTCCGCAGGCAAAATACGAACACCTCGCCCTTTTCCCCAGCAATGCTTAAAACTACATTAGCCTGTAATTGAGTCCAAGCGCCTTAGAATACACTCGGTTTCTTACCTGTATAAAATTAGTTGAATGCCAGCAATATCGACACGCAGAACAATCAAACGCCCGCGGGTCAAATGCCAACGTGAGAG